TATATATATATATATATTTATCATGGTATTCTAATCAGTATTGGTAGAGTTTAAAAATAAACATAACAAAATATAAAAATGCAATTATGATTACCTGAATATTAATAGAACAAGTCACGATCTTTTTCCTTTTTATATTGAACTTAACTTTAATGAAGTGCCAATGTATAAAATTTTTAGACTACCAACCTATAATGAGTTGCCATCATTTAATGAATTTGACATCTCATACATTGTGCAACTCATTATGTTAAACTTTTTAAAAACGGCTGCATCAAAATTAAAACTCTTATCATTCCTATTTTTACTTAAAGGATTCCAATTGGTCCTTTGGTGCTCATGAGACAATTGACCCAAAAAATGCATTATTATTTTTTATTTCTGCCATATATCTCGAAACTTAAATGTGTTGCTCATAAAGAAGACATGGCAATAACGGAGTAATACTTACTGCGTGCAGATTTCACTCTTCACAGTTGGATGACAATCATTACCAAAAGTACTTAGGGTATGAAACAGAAAACCGCTGTGGGTAACAACAGCTATCTCATTTTCTTTACGTGTCCACAACCTGGACAATTAAGGAAAAGTGAAAAGAAAATATCAGATTTTTGGTTATAGGGATATACCCTTATCTTCCTTATGATGTAAATCTCAATACATAATCTTCTTAAAATCTGAAGCCGCCAATACATAATCATATAATGAACTAATACATATATATGCTTCATATGCCATGCAACTAAAGAAAACTCAAATTGGGCGACCATGTGCATCATCTGAATGTCTTTCCATTATCGTAGTAAAGTGCCAAATGGCCAAAATGTTGACATAATCCAACCAATTAAAAAAAATCAGCTTAAACCTCAACTCTAGTAATATGAACATTTAAATTCAGTACAGTCAAGCCCCTTTGGCTGTCCCTACTTCAAAAGATTCTTCTTGTTGAATATGAATACTCATTGATATGAAACAAATTATTTAATCACACTCACCATTCCAAAAACTTCAGTCCCCGGGCAGCAACTTCTTCATTCTTCTCTCTAATGTCAGGTTCCCACAAAATGTCCTCATCATTTTCTATCTAAACACAATTTACAACATGCATGAATCCCATCTAGTCAAACATCAGTCATATGCTAGCAACAAATGCATCAAAATAGATCACTTACCAATGAGAAATCAATTGCTGGAAACATTTGTCGGTACTCAGTGATACTTCTTCTCTTGTCACAGGGATGTACACCCTGAATTACCAAAAAAACTTGAAGAAATTAAATGCCACAAGACCACCTAATCTATATGCTCAATTTTAAAACTTTTTGCTGCTCATCATAACCTAATCTATTCTAATTATTAGCTAGTAGCTACAAGACCACACACCATTTAAATGCTGAAAACCAGCAACCTCCTTCAATTGTTCAATGAAAAGAAAATTGAAAATACATACAGTAATAATCTAAATCAATACAAAGGAGACAACAGGCCAACACACATCTCATGTCCTCATCCTTCAATGAGCCAATAAACTTCACTCTATTTAACAAGACTTGGGTAACTTGGTTAAAGATAAAAAAGAGCAAGCAAATTTGAACACACAACATAAATAAATGGAACCAAATCACAGTTTCTCAAGAAGCTGATATTGTTTGGATTTGATTCAACAAACAAACACATGGTCGACATTGTTAGAATAGCTTATGTAGAAAGCTTCTTCTGTTTATTAAGTTTTTTTTTTAATGTATTTCCTGATTTCACTCTAGCTTGATGTGATGGCTTAGGTCTCTAGACTCTTCAGCTTTTTCCTTGTAATCCTACTTATTTTCCATTCATAATATAAGGAATAGACAGATCAGTGGATCTGTGCTTTTTGCTGCTTATTTGAATATCTAAGTGACATGCCTGACATCAGTTTCCTAAATAAGGGAAGCAAGCTCTAAACTGGGAAGGTAGATGGCCAACATGTAATTTCAGTAATTCATCAGGTATATTTCATGATTACTGATGCTGTACCCGAACTAACAGAATGTTAGAAAGAAAGCCAAGGAATGGCTGACGAAGTTAATTGATTCAATCACCCAAACTTAAAAGATATACTGCTTCATCATCATTACATACCAAATGTTCTCGGCAAAGCTCTACTGCTATAAATGGTGGGACATTCAGACTAGAAATTGCACGGCGATCACTATCTCCCACATTGTCATTCATCAGGGGAGGTACACTAATCTCATCAGTATGTGCTTCACCACCAAAGACTCCAACTGCTGTTTGCATGGTCCTGCAATGCAATAATTAGCAATTTGAGCGTATGATATGATAATCACTACGCCTGAAAAACTAGAGAAAGAATCTTGTTTGTTTAATAATATGCAAAACATTTCTTCTGTGCAAATACCAACTAAACTAAAATTAAATAATTTCTATTGATACTTAAAGGGCAAACTCCAAATCAAGATCAATTAAGAAACATAGTGCCCTTGAATTTGAAACTTGAAAGGAATTAAAATACTTAGATGTTGGAGTTGGACACACACACATAGATTAATGAACACAGTTTAGGAAGCCTAAAAACACTAAAATATGACCTAAAAAATATCAAAAGTCATATGAACTTATTTAAATACGAAATTATATTTAAAATTAAGAAAATGGGCTTAATTTATTATTCAGCTCAAAAACCAAGTAATTCACCCAAATAAAGTCCAACTGACAGCTACAACCTTAGTATTAATTGTTGGGCTCATTGTGCTCTCCAAATTATTGTTTGTAACTATATGATTCAAATAGTGTCAACATGTGATAAGAATCTATCAAGGGCCAAAAATTTCAAATATCTTTCGCAGTGGATGGAAGCCCCATTGATTAGAACAAGTTCAAGAAGAGTTAAAAACAATTATTTGGAGAGCACAATGAGCCCAACATCTAATACTAAAGCTGTAGCTGTGAGTTGGACTTTATTTGGGTGAATTACTTGGTTTTTGAGCTGAATAGTAAATTAATCCCATTTTCTTAATTTTAAATATAATTTTGTATTTAAATAAGTTCATCTGACTTATGATGTTTTTTAGGTCATATTTTAGTGTTTGTAGGCTTCCTAAACCATTAGATAATGAGTGGAATAGTGGAAAAACATTTAACTATTTTCAAGACGATCCTAAAATTAAATCACATCAACATGGGACATTCTCTAAATATATTTGTGCTCCATAGGATTTTCATTAAGAGTCATTAAATATAGTTTGGTAGAAACTTCACAATTGCATCATCGTTGAATAATCAGTAAAACACTGTTGTTTCAAAAAAATATTATCCAACTTATGTTATTTTATATATGGTTATCCAAGTATAATCTGTTATCTTATCTTAGTATCTTATAATAAACAGATGTTGGCTAATTTTTAGTATAATCTGTTATCTATCAACCTATCTGGCATGTTTCAACAAATCTTTAAGGCCATGGTCAGAAACAATCTTAATGAGAAGCAGTAAAAGGAGTAACAGATCTTTGACAAAAATGAGACTAGTATTGGGGAGAATTATAAATTACAATGAAGTTATACCTTAACAAGGGAGAAACAATAACTAGTTCAATTGTTCGAGAAAGACTGCTTGCCTTAACATGTTCTCTCAGATTATCAACCTGTCATAGAGCCACAAATATTCCATCATGACATGTAAAGAACAGAATATTGCCTAGGAACAACGAAGGAAAGAACTAGTTAGAAACAAATTATGACAATGCCTAAGCATAACACCAATACCAATCTCTACAAAAAGTAACTTTTTTCTTCTTTGTAATTGTAAAGACCTTGTAACTTCTTTCTTTTTTGTAATTGTAAACACTTCAACGTTCCACGTAACACAATATCTGTCCCGAATGACAGAGATCATTTTGATTAGCAATTTTACCTGTTTCCAACCAAGAGGGGTCAGGTGTGCATCATAAAGATCATAAGACTTGTATGCTTCAAAGTTCTTCTCACCTTCTACATTGTGAACTCCTTGAGCATGTCTAACCTGTACACAAGATTAGACAAGAGTACGACCATAATACAGTTGAACATGAACAAATGGTCTTCTGAAAACCAGAACACAACACACAAGCAAGCAACCCCTACATTCATCTAAAAACACATTCCAACTAAATTTGAAGCACTTTCTAATCATCTTATATTCTAGGATTTCATCTTTTAACTTCCGTCACAAATAGGTAACACTAGTCAGTACTCAGTATAACAGATTGCCATCGAGTTAAGCTTGGGATTTCATTTCCACATGCAAGGAAAAACAGATGTACTAGTCGTGCCATAAGGAGAAAAACAAAATCTGGTTGAAGGATAAGGTTGCCACAAACCAGGTGAAGAGTTTTACAACGGTGCAAGGGGTAAAGACTTTGACCTGCAACAGCAGTATCCATATCTGCAGTGACATTAAATAAAACTGTTCAACAATAAAACGTATATGATGAAGTTACCAATTATCAGTTAGCATTAAACCAGTACTATTTTTTGGTGCTTCGGAAAATCAAGAAGAAAAAAATAAACTAACAACGAAAACAAATGCATATTAGTTTATCAGCTTAAACAGAAAAATTGCAAGGCAACCGATCCTTAACAACAATATTGCTTATAACTTATAGGTATTCAAAGCTAAGGCTAAACGGATTCCGTCATTTAGGTTAAACACGGAATAATGTTGCACATTATCAACAAAGAGAATACTGCACAACGAATATTACACTCCAAGCCTCCACGAACATGCCGTAATCGACGAGTACAGAATCTGATTTACTATTATTGTTAATAAAAATAAAAAGGAGAATAAAAGTGGATTTGAAGAAAATTGAAAGCGCGAAGATAGAAACGGAGACCTCGATTAACAGTAGTAGTTGTAGATTGAGAGATTTTGACGTGAATTTAGAATTGCAAAAGGAGTTTTGAAATGGTTGGAAAATGAAAATTTAGCGTAGCGCGGGGAGAAAAGAGAATGGGAAGGAGATAGGAGGAGTACCTGAGCGTAAAGAGAAACGAGGAAAAGAAGGAGAAGGATGGTCTGAAATGGGGGTAGGGACAGAAGTGGAATTTAATAAAATAGGGTGATGAGGAATGAGCATGGAGTAAATATATTGTGGCGGTGAGAAGAGTTGCGTTGGAAGCTTAAACAAATTCATTTTTTTATTATTCTAACTTTCCGTACTTTCGCTCATTTCCTCTGAATCCGCCAACTCTAACAGTCTAACCTCTAACATGAAGACCTGCGTGCTTGCCTGCTTATCCTTCGCATGTCCTACATCACTCCACACACACATCCATTATTTTATTACAAGTAATCAATTTTTCAACATCTGAATTTTTGAGGATTCATTCTTCTAGTCTGGAGCTCAGAATGTAAAGTATTCTTTTTATGCCATCACTAAATTAAATTATTAATTTTATGATAATTATTTATAATATAAATTAAAATTTATTTTAAGATTAGTTGATGTGTATTGATCATATGTATCTATTGAACTTTTAAAAAAATGTGTAACATGCTGTAAAAATAAAAAACCATATTAAAATAATCCAAAAATATAACTCAAACTTCTCCAAATGTATCCAAATTTGGACCTAAGTCTTGGGTCTCATTTAATATCATGTTCCCGATATCTGAAAGGGGTTATCTTGACTTATGGACGTCATGAGAGTCAGCTTTATTAGACATTAAGTTCTTATTTTGTTCTATTTATCCTTCTTTTTCTTATCCCCATGTATCCAAAAACAAAATTGTATCAAATTTAATTCCTTACACCCAAATTTATCATGATCTCACAAGTTTTTTGAATTTTACGATTCAACTAGTAACAAAAAAAAATATATAAATTTAACTAATTTGAATTATCGTATAAACAATTCTTAAATATACGGTAATAATATATGTACAAAAACATATATCAAAAAATATAAAACATTTTTTCAATGAGATCATACCACAAATCTTATACATACATATATAGATCATACAACACAACACATCATGGTTTTCAACTTCAACAATGCATAGTACAATTCAACAAGACATTCAACTGATCGACACAACATTATCTGAAGTTAACATTCAACAATTTTTTTAGGCAACAACTTAACTACACAAAAAAACTTTGCAACTCAACCACATAATAACAAAGCATATGAACACTACAACACAATCGACACATCAAATGTACAACACACCAACTATGTGCATTGTCACACATTCAACTAATAAATTTCTTACAATATAATGAGTAGTTTAAGTGACTTGACCCTATCGAATCAACTAACAACATTATTTTTTTGGGGTAACTAAATCAACAATTAATTTGGATAAAAATCCAAAACACAACATGATTACTCAAATTTCGCCACTTAAACTAGGAAAATATAGTATTTTTATAAAGGTAGATCAACTTGGGTGTGAGACCATAGCATACATAACTAAGTCTCCTACATGTTTAGTCCATTGACTACCCACCAAATACTACACCACTTTAGTTACTTATGCATTTTGGCTTCCAACCTTGTATCTTAGTTTGATCACTTTATACACATATGACTCAACATTGCTCCTATACAAATTTATATTGGTTGATTTATACATGTATATGGCTTGACTCGACCCTCATACAGATCAACATTTAGTCACTTATAAACAACATGTCTTGACTTGACCCCCATACTATGTCAATTAAGGTCATAGAGGAGACTCAATAATCTACTTCAAGAGTTAACTTCTCAAGAAAAATTTTCAACAACTAGGCTTGTAGAGTATTACAACATCATATCCTCACAATGGGATATTCAACTTTTAACACAATCTTCCCTTTAATCCTAAGTCAATCAACACAATTCAACATTATGCCTCAAGCATTCTCAACATAGTTACTCAACACTACACAGCATGCAACTTTAACCACATCCCGTCATTCAACTACTTAAAACTTTCAACAATATCAACATCAATCTACATCATACTTGATCAATTTATAAAACATTAGAATCATACAACCACTTATATCATGTGAGTAATCCAATCTACAAACACATGTTCAACACTTAATATAACAAGTTTTTCTTTAGGCATCTTACATCCAACGCCATTTTTCTCATATTCGATGACATTGAGGTAGAGAGCCTCTAACTCGCTCATGCCCCACATCAAACTACCCATGCCCAGCGTGATTGAAGCAAAGAGCTCATGTGTCAATCATGCTTAACATATCAAAACCTACGCCTGATCCCATTTTACACAAAGAGTCTCCACCTGACTCATTCGACGTCACAACACTAACGCACAATATTGTCTAGGTAGAGAGCTTTTATCTTGATCATGCTTGACGCAACTTAACTAAGGTCTAGTGTCACTAACCTGATGTGACCAAGTCAAAGAGTTCTCCACTAGCTCACACTTGATATTACCAATCCCATACCTGACTTTAGCAAGGCAAAGAGCCTCTAACCTATATCACGTCCGACGCCTTGAAGCTATGCTTGACGTGATGATAATTTTGCTCTTGATAGATTCACATTTTAGCTTAATTTGTATATGAAACTTAGGAAAATCAACATATAATGCCATTTGTCATAATTACACAATATAAGCATCTCCTTTCCAAACTGAATAACCACATGCAACTCATAAGTAGATCAAATCACCACTCTCATTCAACGAAGGCAAGTAAATACCAAAACTAGGTTCCACCTTAAGATTAATCAATACAACCACAAAATTAATGAAATCAAACCACATACAATTCGAAAATTCAATAAGAATTACAATTCTATCTTCCCTTACCTTTAGATATAAGATAAAAGAGGGAAAAGGAAGATGGTTGAGACTTTTCAAAGGAACTTCACACAAATCCACAACTCTACTATGATCTTCTACACTCTCAGTAAGGCTAGGAAGAAGAAAAAAGAATTTCATAATGTAGAATTTCAATTTCTAACTTCTCTTTGAGTATTTTTTTTATTATAAGAAATGGAATTACGAAATTCACATCTTAATATTTTTTTTATAAACATTCTTTTAACATGCCAAACTTAACATCTACTCAAACCAACTCTTAAATGATTAAAACTTATAAAAATTTCTAAATTTTTAGAATTCTTGACAACTAAACAATTAAATTACAACAACAAATATTCTAATAAAATAAATAAATGCTAAAAATTTCTGCAGAATTAAAAAAAATCATTAAAAGTTTCTCCTGAATCAGACCGGATTAGTAGGACAAAAAGAATAAAAACACCCTTAATATGATGAAAATTAAAAAGAATAAGGAGATAAAATTAAGATGAAAAATTATAAATTAGTTATCAAATTACAATTATCTTTCTCCTGCATCCACCCGGTGGTCAAAAAGTGCCTGTAAGTTTTTTAGAAAGTTTATGTCCTTCACGTAATTTACTATTTTTTTTTTGGTCAGTAATTCTGTTATTAACTTGCTTTATGTAGTTTAATTATTATATTCGATGGCCAGGAGCTACGAGCTAGTAGGAACTAGGAAGTTTGAATTCAGCGCCTCGACAAAAAAAAAATGATAATGATGCGAATATACCCGTCGTGCTTCGGAACATGATAAGATAAGCAAGAGTTATTGTACACTCACTTTTTTAAAAAGAAAATTCTTATCTTTATTCTATTGTTATAATTTTTGTATTTCAATTTTTTTTTTCTTTCACATCAATTTATTATCATTTCGTGTTAAATTAATATCGAAAAGTAAGTATTTTTTTTTTTACTTTCATATTTTATTTTTATTATTGCTTCTCATTGTCTCTCCGTTTTTTTTATCCTGTATCGCAAGAGAGGATGTAAATTCATGTTTCTCCAGCAGCATTTTTTTTCTCTTCAAGTTAATCTGCTAATAAAACAACTCACAACTGAAAATCATAATAGATTGATAAATATTGGAGGTGAAAATATTTATTTAAATGACAACATAAAAATAACTAATAACAATTTTTAGATAAGATTAAAAATAATAAATTATTATGATTAAATAAACTAAAAAAATCATTTTAATTAAATGGATCTGCATGAGAGAGGCGTGGGGCACAGTCACAGATCATTTGTTTTTGTTCATGATATATACATTTCCTTTACACCTCCTTTTTAAAAAAAAATTAAAATTTTTAAAAAAAAATTAATTTTTAATTTTTAATTTTTTAATTTTATACTCACAACATTTAATTTAGTATTTTTTCCTTACTTATTTTCTCTCATTTTTTCAATTTTCACATACATCCTCTTATCTTTCCTTCACCTCACCTATTTTGGTAAGTAATTTTAACTCTTTTAGTTTTACATTACTCTCCCCCTCCTCTTTCAATTTTCTTACTCTTATCTCATCTCTTCCAGCTTTTAATTTTTACAAACATGTAAAATGTAAAACTAGTTTTCAATAATATTATAAGTGTGTGACTTTCTTGATAATAGGTAAGAAATTAGAAGAAGACGAAATGGTGCATGTGAAAACTGAAAAAGAAAAAAATGTGTGAAAAAGAAGAAGAAAGTAGCAAATTAAAAATTGGAGATATGAAATTAGAAGAAAAAAAATTATAAATATTTTATTTTTTTTTAAAAATAGTGGAAGTGTACTTATAAAAAAGGAAGTAGATATATCATGAGTCTTTGTCTTTTGTTTACTAGCTGTTTTTAGACCACGAATTGGACCACATTTAGAAGCCCAGCATGGTGACTGAGGCCAGGATGGTGCCTCTTTCCTTTATTTGTGCGCCCTGTAACGCCAAGCCCATGGCCCTCTTCAAATCCAAACTGTGAAGGTCACAGACTGCGTTTCTCCAGCACCCTTCGTTTCAATACATACAGCCTTTAACTAGTATTTTTGTGATAAGTTTTAAATATATTTTTAATCTCTTTTAAATATGTTATTGATAATTTGAAAAATTAAATAAATTTTTTATAAATTATAAGAATTAAAAATAATAATTTTAAATTTAAAAAGAAAATATAAATTTATTATAAATTTAAAGGATTAAATATATATATATATATATATAATATTAATTATATAGTTAGTTTTAAATTATGCTTACTTTTAATAATTTGTTTTTTATTATTATTATTTTTAATTAATACATGTCGATGTCACAGATCCTTACATAATAATATATCTAAACATTTTAAAGTTATACTATTTTTTTTGTAACTCCTCATTAAATCTAAACAAAAATAATGTATTGAATTTTAAACACTAGCATAA